ATTACTGGTGTGTGTGTGTCCCTTGGTTTTTCTCTCTGGAAAGTATAAGCTCATTTTAATTCCCGGAGTTTAAAATGTCATGATGATGTGCTTTGATGTGAGTTTATTTTCACTGTATTGTGGGTAATTGATGGGCTTTCTGAATGTGAAATGTGAAATCTAAGTCTTTCTTTTTTTTTTTCTTTTTTTACTTTTTCCCCTTTATTAATTTTAGAGAGAAGAAGGGAGAGGGAGAGGGAGATAGAAACATCAAAAAGAGAGAACATGCACCCTCCTGCACGCCCCTCACTGGGGATCGGGTCCACAACTGGGCTGTGCCCTGACTGAGAATCGAACCAGCAACCTCTTGGTGCAGGGTCGATGCTCAACCACTGAGCCACACCAGTCAGACTAAGTCCTTCATTTCTGAAATATATATGTGTTATTACATTTCTTTTGTATTTCTACTGTTATCTTTTAATTCCCAAGGGTTCTTTTTTGTTCTCCACCCCCTTTTAAAAATGTTTCTTTAATTGACTGTTTAGAGAGAGAGGAAGGGAGAGAGAGATAGAAACATTTATATGAGAAAGAAACATTGATCACCTGCCTCCTGCATGTCCCCTACTGGGGATCAAGGCTGCAACCCAGTCCGGGACCTCTCAGTCCATGGGATGATGTTCAATCCACTTAGCCACACTGACCACCTCCCTCTTTTCTTTTCTTTTTTTTTTTTGGTACGTGCCCCTAGCGGGAATCGAACCTAGGACTCTCTGGTCCGCAGGCCGACGCTCCAACCGCTGAGCCAAACCGGCCAGGGCACTTCCCTCTTTTCTTAAAAAATTATTTTTATTAATTTGTTTTTGTTACAGATGTTTCTCCTTTCCCCCCATTGATACCCTTCCCCTCATCGCCCCCTTCTCCAGCTTTGTGTCCATGTCCATTGGTTATGCATACATGCATATAAGTTCTGTGGTTTATCTCTTCACCCCTAACATCCTCTCTTCTGGGGTTTGTCAGTTTGTACTCTACCTCTATGTCTCTGGGTCAGTTTTGTTCATCAGTTTGTTTAGTTCATTAAATTCCACAAATAAGTGAGATCATGTGATATTTGTCTGTCTCTAACTTGCTCATTTCACTTAGCATAATAGTCTCCAGGTCCCTCCATGTTGTCTCAAAGGATAAGAGATCTTTCTTTCTTACAGCTGCATGGTACTCCATTGTGTACATGTACCACAGCTTTTTTTTTTTTTTTAATCCTCACCCGAAGACATTTTTCCATTTTTCACTCAGATAGAGCGGAAAGGAGAGAGAGGAAGAGAAAGAAACATCGATGTGAAAGGGACACATCAAGTGGCCGCCACCCACACGACCCAACCAGGGCCGGGGACAAACTGCAGCCAAGGTACATGCCCTTAGCGGGAACCGAACCCGGGTCTCTGTGGACCGCAGGCTGATGCTCTAACTGCTGAGCCAAACCGGCCAGGGCTGTACCACAGCTTTTTATCCATTCGTCTACTGATGGACACTTGGGCTGTTTCCAGATCTTAGCTATTGTAAATAGTGCTGTTATGAACATGGGGGTACATATATTCTTTCTGATTGGTATTCAGGCTTCTTAGGGTATATTCCTAGAAGTGGGATCACTGGGTCAAATGGCAGTTCAATTTTTAGCTTTTTGAGGTAACACCATATTGTTTTCCATAGTGGCTGCACCAGTCTGCATTCCCACCAGCAGTGCACTAGAGTCCCCTTTTCTCCACACCCTCGCCAACACTTGTTGTTTAATGATTTGTCGATGGCGACCATTCTGACAGGTGGGAGGTGATACCTCATTGTTGTTTTAATTTGCATCTCTCTGATGATTAGTGATGATGAGCATTTCTTCATATGTCTCTTAGCCATTTGTATGTCCTGTTTGGAGAGGTGTCTATTTAGTTCCTCTGCCCATTTTTTAATTGGGTTCTTTGTCTTCCTTTTGTTGAGTTGTATGAGCACTCTATATATTTTGGAAATTAACCCCTTATCTGATGCATCATTGGCAATTATGCTCTCCCATATGGTAGGTTTCCTTTCCATTTTGATGATCGTTTCTTTTGCTGTGCAGAAGTTTTTGAGTTTGATGTAGTCCCATGTGTTCATTTTTCTCTTTGTTTCTCTTGCCTTCGGTGTGGTGTCTTCCCCTTTTCATTAGCTTCTTTTCTTGTTGGTTTATTGAATTCAGTAAGCTCTCATCAATCTAGCAATATTCATACAGATTTTGGGGAAGTTGTCTTCTCTCTGCACAGTCTTGGATTTCTCCAAGTTGAATTTTTCCTTTTGCTCATTTTGGCCTCCCTCTTTTGTGATAGAGATTTTTCTCAGGGGTCAGCCTGGGCTGTCTGCCCACTTGAGAGCAGAGAGACCGAGAAGGTGGCTGGACGCTGGGTGTGCGGACGGGGCTCTCTGACGTGTTACCGGGCGCTCTGCAAGGCTATTTCACCCGTGCACCCCGAGCACCCCGTGCACCCCGTGATGTCTGCGCCTTTGGGGCTTTCCTCCTGAGCAGGGGCATCTCCCTGACAGCTCACTCAGCCTGCTGCCACGTGGGTAAGGCTGCCAGGCTCCTGGGAGCCGAGCAGGACAGCAGGCTGGGGGTCTCTGCCCTCGAGGTACATATGGCACTCGGTCCACCTCAGTCCTCCCCTCCCTCCCCAGCAGCACGCGGTGTGACAGTTCCTGACGGCCGGAGGTCAGCTCCAGAGTCGGGGCCCAGCCCCAGCAGCTCCTCCATCTCCGAGGTCCCTGAGCACTGCTTCCTACCATGTCACAGGGTGGGGCCACGTCTCTCCATAGGCACCGCCACCGTCCAGTGCATGCTGCCACCATCTGCATCGACTCTTGACACACCTGCTGCTCTTGCCCCCTCCTGTCCCTTCTGCACTCACGAAGGAGCGAGGTGGCCCTTCCAGGTCACTTCCCTCGATACCTCCATGGCTCCTTGTGCCTTGAGGCATCGCTGAGCCTCAGGGGCATTCACGGCCTCAGGCTGGCTTCCGACCCTGCAGCCGCTCCTAAGTATCCCCTTCTCCATCCCTCCCTCCACACCTCTGGGGCCACACACCTCTGCCACAGCCCCTGGGGCTTCACCCCAGTTGTCGCCTCCTCCTGAAGGTCTTCCCAGGTCCCTAGCACCTGTCACACCCCCGAGACTGCCGCTCTCCCTTGGGACCCGGAGGGGAGGTCTGTACTGAGTGCTGCTGAGCTCGAGTCCAGCACCTGGCACCCAAGGGTGCTGGGCTGAAAGGAGGGGGGGTCCTGCCCCCCGCTGACTGGGGGTGGGGCCTTCTCCTGAGCCCGGCAAGTCTGCCAGCAGGTCAGGGAGCTCGGGCTCTGTCAGCAGTGAGCATCTTCACACTCAGGGACGTGCAAGGCCCAGAAGGAGGGCTTCCCCGGTATCAGGCCTGAGCAGCCCCCAAACCACCCTGTCAGACCTCAGTGTGGGTGGCCTTTCCCAGGGAAGGGACTGCTCGGCCAGCGGCTTTCCTTGTGACTATTTGAAAGTCCATTTCCCAGCCACAGCGGGGTGTGACCAGGGGTAATGCCCTTCCTGCCCGGGGTGTCTGGGGAGGGGAGATGTGAGAGGTGGGACTCCAGGGCAGCGCCCACTGCCAGCCGGGCCCACGCCCTCTGTGCCCCAGCGACCCCTGCCAGCCGGGCTCACGCCCTCTGCACCCCAGCGCCCACTGCCGGCCGGGCTCAGGGCCCCCGGCGCCCCAGCGCCCACTGCCGGCCGGGCTCACGCCCCCTGCGCCCCAGCGCCCAACCCCGGCCGGGCTCACGCCCTCTGTGCCCCAGCGCCCACTGCTGGCCAGGCTCACGCCCCCTGCGTCCCAGCGCCCACCGCCGGCCGGGCTCACGCCCCCTGCGCCCCAGCGCCCACCGCCGGCCGGTCTCAGGGCCCCCGGCGCCCCAGCGCCCACCGCCGGCCGGGCTCACGTCCTCTGTGCTCCAGCGCCCACTGCCGGCCGGGCTCGGGCCCCTGGCGCCCCAGCGCCCACCGCCGGCCGGGCTCACGTCCTCTGTGCCCCAGCGCCCACCGCCGGCCGGGCTCGGGCCCCTGGCGCCCCAGCGCCCACCGCCGGCCGGGCCGACGCCCCCTGCGCCCCGGCGCCCACCGCCGGCCGGGCCCACGCCCCCTGCGCCCCGGCGCCCACCGCCGGCCGGGCCCACGCCCCCTGCGCCCCGGCGCCCACTGCCGGCCGGGCTCACGCCCTCTGCGCCCCGGCTCCCACTGCCGGCCCGACTCACGCCCTCTGCGCCCCAGCGCCCACTGCCGGCCGGGCTCACGCCCTCTGCGCCCCAGCGCCCACTGCCGGCCCGACTCACGCCCTCTGTGCTCCAGCGCCCACTGCCGGCCGGGCTCAGGGCCCCCGGCGCCCCAGCGCCCACTGCCGGCCGGGCTCACGCCGCCTGCGCCCCAGTGCCCACTGCCGGCCGGACACAAGCCCTCTGCGCCCCAGCGCCTCCTGCCGGCCGGGCTCTCGCCCTCTGCGCCCCAGCGCCCACTGCAGGCCGGGCTCACGCCCTCTGTGTCCCAGGCCCCCTGCCGGCCGGGCTCACGCCCTCGGCGCCTCCGCACCCACTGCCCTCTTGGAGGGTATCACAGTCCTGTCAGATCGACAGACAATGGCCACTCTCGGGTGCCTTGTTCAAGGTCACACACTCAGAAAGGGTGATGTTCAACCCCAGGACTCTGCAGACACGCTGCCTCCGTGGGTTATTTTGCTGCGGGGAGGGGCGGGCCCCAGCCTCTGCTGGCCCCGGGGGGCTCCCTGAAGGCGGAAGCTGCCGTTGTGGGGTTGGTGGAGCCGGTGCTCTGGACTGAGGGACCAGTAATGCAGAGCACCCCTTCTCAGGCTGATGGAGCCCACAATCCAGGGGTGGGGGGGGCTCTGCACCGGCTCTTCCTCTGACCTCGCGGCAGGGTTGTGGGGTGCCTGGCGTGGCTCACAGCCCTCTCCTCTGGCTTGATATTTTTCCAGCAACTGGTGCCCCTACCAGAAGCCCAGGCTGGTCACCTTCATAGCCGCGTGCAATACGGAGAAATTCTTCGTCCGCTCGGAGCAGCCGTGCCCACCGGGAGCTGCGGACTGCCAGAGAGCCAAAGTCATGTGAGTGGGCGGCGGGCGGCCCAGCTGCGCTGCTCCCCGTGGGGTCCTGAGCTGTCCTCTCCCTGCAGGTACCGCGTGGCCCGCAAGCCGGTGTACCGGGTCCAGCAGAAGGTGCTGGCCTCCGTGGCCTGGAGGTGCTGCCCCGGCTTCTCTGGCTCTGACTGCCAGCACAGCGGTAGGCCCGCGGTCCCCCCAGCCCCGACCCCGAGGTCCTGCAGCTCCTCTGACTCCTGTGCTCATACCTGAGGCCTCCTCTCTGCAGATCCCGCTGCGGTGCCCGAGCCTGCGGACCCGGGGGACGGCCTCCACACAGCCTGGGAAGGGCCAGTTGTCTCTGGAGCCGGTATGCTGCTCTCCGGACGGTGTGGGAGGGCAGGCAGGAGGAGAGAGCCCGCTGCCCAGGCCCTTTCTCCTGGCACAGCAGTGCCCTTTCAGGACAGCCTTGTCCCTGGAATTGGCCGAGGACCCTCTGAGGCTCTCGCCACCTTACTCCACGCCTGGGAGGCCCGCCAGGTCGGCCCCAGACCTGCCTGCTGGCAAAGCACCTGAACCCTCCCTCCACCCTGACCTGTACAGTTCCCACGGCCGGAGGCAGCCTTCCAACGCCCCACCCTCAACCAGGGACAAGAGGTCATGGCGTCCCTGGTCGCCAGTCAGCACGGGAGAACCACCAAGGACCCCATTTGCTGGGCCTTTCAAGGCTGGGCCAGGGTTGGGGTGGCAAATGCGTTCCGTCGTGAGCTGAGCGCCTGTGTTGACCAGGGCTCTCTAGAATCATGTCCAGAGGCCGTGGCCATGAGGCTGAGGAGGAAGATGGGCCGTGATCGATTAGTCATGTCTGTTGAGGGTGTGGGCCACAGGGTGAGGGCTCACCTACCATGGTCTGCCCTTCTGGGGCGCAAGGCTTCTAAGCTGCTGCTCAGAGCGTATCGGCATACACCTACCTCTCTGCTCTCAACCCCGAAATCTTCTCTGTCCCTATGATCGGCTCAGGCCTGGGGAGTCAGCCCTCTCTCATGTGTCCTCAGGCCACCCAGCTGCAGAGACCAGCAACGCCATGGTGCGGCAGGGACACCCGCTGAGAGACCTCCAGAACGACATGCACCACATGGAAGGTAGCCCCCCAGGCCCGGAGAAGGCCCCGGCCAGCAACCTCACAGCTGCAGTGACCGAGGCCAATCAGGGGGAGCCCGGTGAGTGGCAGGCTCCAGGGGTTGTGGAAGGACCTGATTTCATCCAAGGGGAAGAGTGGGAGGGAAGAGGAGGGCCCACACCTCCGAGGACCCCTTGGCCCCGTCTGGGGAGGGTGTCCGCCCCAGCAGGTTTGTGGGAAAACACGCTTCTGTTGCAGAGTCTCCTGGCAGATCCTCGGAGCAGGTGCCGCATTTCAGCCCTGTTTGGAGTGACTTTAACCACAGCCTGAACAGCCTCTTTGAGACCATCAGAAACCTCTCTCTTGCGGTGGAGGCCAACCGACAGACCATCAGGATGGTCCAGGACAGCACCGTGCCCAGGGCGGACTTCCAGGAGCTGGGTGCCAAGTTTGAGACCAAGGTGCAGGAGAACGCCCAGAGAGTGGGCCAGCTGCAGAAGGACGTGGAAGACCGCCTGCACGCCCAGCAGCTGTCTCTGCACCACTCCCTCTCGGAGGTCCAGGCTGATGTGGATGCCAAGTTGAAGAGGCTCCTTAAGGCCCAGGAGCAGCTGGGGACCAATGGCAGCCTGGTGCCGGCAGCGGCAGGGGCTGGGGCCAGGCCGGAGCCGGAGAGCCTGCAGGCCAGGCTGAGCCAGCTCCAGAGGAACCTCTCAGCGCTGCACCTGGCCACCAGCGGCAGGGAGGAGGCCTTGCAGAACACCCTGGAGGACATGAGGGCGACTCTGGCCCAGCACAGGGATGAGATCAAGGAGCTGTATTCCGAGTCCGACGAGACCTTTGACCAGATCAGCAAGGTGGAGCAGCAGATGCAGAAGCTGCAGGTGAACCACCAGGAGCTGCGCGAGCTCCGGGTCGTCCTGATGGAGAAGTCGCTCATCATGGAGGAGAACAAGGTGGAGACTGAGCAGCAGCTCCTGGAGCTCAACCTCACCCTCCAGCACCTGCAGGGCAGCCAGGCCGACTTCATCAAGTACGTCAACGACTGCAGCTGCCAGAAGCTGCCCCTCGGCCCCGACGGCCAGGAGGACGCCCCGGCGAGCCCGGGCCAGCAGCGCCAGGCGGACGACCCGTCGCTGCAGGCCCTGGGCCGGCGCGTGGCGGCCGTGTCGCGGGCGCTGGAGGAGCAGCAGGCCGAGGCGGGCGCGGCGCGGGCCGAGCAGGCGCGGCTCCGGACGCAGCTGCGGGCGCTGAGCGAGGAGGCGGGCGCGCTGCGGGCGGCGGAGGGCGCGCTGCGCCAGGAGGCGGCCTGGCTGCGCGGCTCCTTCTCGGCGCTGCTGGGGGACGCGCTGCGGCACGAGGCGCTGCTGGCCGCGCTCTTCGGCGACGAGCTGGTGTCGGAGGCGGAGGCCGGGCCGCTGCCGCTGAGCTACGAGCAGATCCGCGCCGGCCTGCAGGACGCGGCCGTGGGGCTCCGGGAGCAGGCGCAGGCCTGGGACGCGCTGGCCGCCAGGGTGGCGGCCCTGGAACCGGCGGCGGGGCGCGGCCCGGGCCTCGAGCTGCCGGAGCCCGGCCCCCCGGCGGCGCCAGCGGGGCCCGGCGGGCCCGACCCCGCGGGGCTGGCGCGGGAGCTGCAGCGCCTGGGCGCCGACGTGCAGCGGCTGGGGCAGTGCTGCCAGGCCCCCGGGGCCGCCGCCCTCAACGGCTCCCTGGAGGCGCTGCGCGGGGCCCTGGCGGCCACGCAGCGCGGCCTGGAGCAGCACCAGCAGCTCTTCCACCGCCTGGTCGGGAACTTCCAGGGGCTCCTGGCGGCCAACGTCAGCCTGGACCTGGAGGAGCTGCAGGCCCTGCTGCTCAGGAAAGGGAGGAAGCAGCAAAAGGGCCAGAGGAGGGGCAAGAAGCAGGTGGGGCCTTGGGCCGTTGCCCCCGTCGGAGGACCGCTGCGCCCCGTCCCCGGCGCCGAGCTCCAGGAAGCAGGTGAGCTCCGGGTCCAGGGGCCTGGGCCAGTCTGAGGACAGGGCTGTCCGCAGGCAGTTCTCCTGCGGGGGGTGGGGGTGGGGGAGAAACAGGGTGCTGGTCGTGACTGCCCCGCCAGGCCACCTTGCCCTTGACCGACCTTCCGTTCAGGGGAGGGAGGGGCATCTTAAGCTCCCTGGAGTACAAGGAGGCAGAAATCACAAGAACCAGCCCTTGGTGAGCAGCAGGGCCCCTCCTTGTAAACATTTGAGGTGCACGGTCGCGTGCACACATGCACACACGTGCGCACACTCAGGCGCACACACACTTCTGGGCCTGCCCGCTGACTGGGAGCAGGGAGGTGAGTACCTCCTTTCCTTCCTTGCCACACCCCAAACCCCTCCACCGGCTCTTCACCCACTCCACCCACCCCCACATCTTCACCCAGGGTGTGGGTGGGGCTAGTGTCACTTGCCAAGGGCAGCACCCCAGGGAGGAAGGCCTTGGGCCCTGGAAGTTGCTCCTTCTGCCAACACTTGGCCAGTTTCTGCCCTGTGCGAGGCCCCCTGCAATGCCGCCTTGGGCTTGTCACACTGACTCATCAGGGCAGCTCAGCGATGCATTATCACTGCCGTCTCGGGGACTGAGGCTCCGTCGGGAGAAGCGTTCTGCTCACATGGCTCGTGAGAGGCACAGAGGGGCCCTGAGCCCAGTGCACCTGTCTCCAGGGTCCTGGCTCTTGCCCTGGGTGGCTGGTCCCTGCAGGGCCCCGGGACCCCGGTCTGGGAAGCTGGTTCTGAGGCAGAAGCGTGGTGCAGCCAGCCTGCCCATGCTCTCCCGAGTGCAGCCTGGGAAGGGGACCGCTAGGCTCTCTGCTTCAAGCGACTCTCCCCTGCCAGAGGCTGCCCTTGGGGCTCTGGCCACCTCCTCACGCAGACATGGGGCTAGACATGTGCCCTGCTGTAGCCTGGCATTGGGGATGTCCGAGGCCTTGCTGAAGGTCCCACCCAAGCCAGCTCTCTCTGACCTTCCACTGTGGCCCCGGGACCTGCGTCTCCTGGGGCAGTGGACAGAGCACAGGTTCTAGCACCACCAGGCTCAGTTTCTCCCTCTGTAAAATGGGAGAATCGTACCTACATCAGAGGGTTGTTAGGAAGGCGAACGGATATACTTACCAAATACCTAGCACGAGGCGTAACCTTTAGTAGAAACCATCCAGTGTGTTCCTGGTCCCCGGCATTTTCAGGGCGGAAGCAGGGTCCACCCACACTAACTCGTCCGTCTTTATTCCACCTGTGAGTGGGGCAGGCCTCCGTTGCCTGACGGTTGAGGAATCTGAGTTTACCACTACCATATTTTGTTTTAAAAACTTTACCCCTAAAATTGAAAATAAAAATTCTCCTTATTTTCCTCGCAGGCAGGCCATAGGGCTTGAATTTGTACCCTGCAGGGAAGCCTGCTAGCGAATCAGGAGTCACAACCCCTCCTGAGGCACGTTGGGCCCACGGGCTGGGGGGAGGTTCCCTTGAAGCTCCGCAGGCAGGCTGGCTGGACCAGGTGCAGGGGGCCCAGGGCCCAGCAGAGGGCGCTCTAGGCCGGTCTGCCTTGGGCTGGGCAAGCGCCCCACCTCCTGGGTGCTGGGAGAACTGCAGGGCCAGCAGCGGCTGTTGGCTGTGGCCCAATTTTCCCGAAATGGGAAAACTATTCTGAACTTTAATTCTCAGAAACCTTCCAGAAATAGAGAAGAGCGAAGTTTTGTCATTCACAAGGCGCTTGCTGAACTGGGAGTCAAAGATCCGGGCTCCAGTTCTGGGTCCTCAGTAACTAGCTGCACATGTGTTCCTCTTTTTGGCCTGGTCTCATCCCCGAGAAACTGGGAGGAGGGGGGTGCACAGGTGTGTTGAGGGAGCTCCCAAGGAGATGACCTCGTCAGTACTGAGGCCAGTGTCACGGGGGACCACAGTGGGACTCACCCTACCCCGGCCCCGGGGCAGCGTGCCCAGGCAGCCCAGCTGGTCCTTCCCTCCCGGACCTTCACCACGCGCAGAGCATCCTCTGCTCCAGGCCCGTGTCCGCTGTCTTCCCTCCCTGAGGCCGGTCCGTGTGTCTTCAGTGGGTGTAACACCAGGAATCGCTCCAGGGACAGCCCCCAGCAGGCGGATGACGAGTGTCACTGGGGTGGCTTCCCCTCTCTGTGCCTGTGCCCCCCCACCCCTGACCCCAGGGCTCTGTGCCACACTTTGAAAACATGCCCATGCCCAGCTTGAATAGACTTTTCTTCCCTCGTTCCTCCTTGGAGTCCTAAGGCCCGGCAGGAACCACTCCCCACGGTCCCTCGGTCCCTCGGTGGTCTCCCCGGGGTCAGTACTGTTACCTGGAGCACAGGCAGGTCTGTGCTCCCTTCACTCAGGTACCCCTAGGTCCCTAGCAGGTGCAGTAACGTGGGCGTCGGGGACCCGGGTTCGCCCTAGTCTGCATGGACAAGCCTCGGCCAGCAAGCTCTCGACTGTTTTCTCAGCCAGAGGAACTTAGTCGCAGGGTGTCGGAAGGAAAGGATCAAACGAAGGGTTTTGCAGACGTGCACCAGCAGAGACAACAGACTTGCATTTTTCTTTCTCTCAACTAGTGAAATCCTGAGTTGGCCAGTTGGCTCCCACTCTGAGACGCTCCTGGGAATGTCTAGGTTATCTAGCAATAGTGCCTGTTTGTAGTGTCATTAAGGCGAGGAAGGCAGGTCTCCAAGTTGATGTCCCATCGAGGGGGACACTGAGTCACTGAGCTTCCCTCCTGTGTTCCAGGCTCCCCTGTGGCCTTCTATGCCAGCCTTTCAGAGGAGACGGCCACCCTGCCGACGGTGATATTCGACACCACTTACATCAACATTGGCAGCAGCTACTTCCCTGGAGATGGCTACTTCCGAGCCCCGGAGCGCGGGGTCTACCTGTTCGCAGTGAGCGTGGAATTTGGCCCAGGGCCAGGCGCCGGGCAGCTGGTGATTGGAGGTCACCGTCGGACCCCAGTCTGCGCTGCTGAGGAGCCGTCGGGTAGACACACGGCGACCACCTTTGCTATGGCGCAGCTGCAGAAGGGGGAGAGGGTGTGGTTCGAGCTCACCCAGGGCTCACTAACGACGGGCAGCCCTTCGGGCACGGCGTTTGGGGGCTTCCTGCTGTTCAGGACCTGACCGCTGGGCTCAGGCGCTGGGACCAGGGTTGGCACGGACACCATCCACGTGGGTGCAGCTTCTGCAAAGACAGCGAGGCCGCGGCAGACGCGCTGGGCGGGGGTGTTTCACGGCGAGCAGGGCCGGAGACGTGGCGCCTGGCTCGCTGAGCCTTCCGAGGCCGTGTGGCTTGACCCGCTGTCCACGGCCCTGGGCTCTCCGGCCTCCTCGACGATCACCCTCCTGTGCTTGAAAACTGTGACACGAACCCCTCTCCGGCTTCCTCGTGTCCCCAGTCTTGTGCTAGAAAAGCATTCTTTAGAGAAGGCACCTGTGTATAGAGGTGGCATGTCGGACATATGGGCAACCAGGCTCCAGTCACTGCAGGGCAGTAGGAGACAATCGACCTGGCCGGTCGGTCAGTCAGAGTGAACACTGGGGACACGAGCCAAAGGAAGGAGCACAAGGAGTAGCTCCCCAGTCCCAGTCCTTCCTGGAATGTGTCTGCAACTTGACTCCGTTCCCCTGGCCTCACACAGGACGGAGTGTGGGTGGCTTTCACCTTTTGCTTTCTCCACAGCCTGAGCACCCCACTTCTTCTTAGCACCTCTGCCAGGAAGGGAGCCGAGGAGAAGGGGGGACTGTAAAAACTGCCCCGGTCTCACCATCTTTGGAATAGAGTAGTGCCCTTCGAGTCTCTGCCTGGCTTACTGAGTCACTGATGTGGTAGAGCAGGGTGGAAATAAGGAACAAAATAAAACTATTTGCAATACATGTGACTGGTGTTATTCTGTCTGGGGCACACCTGACGCACCATGTCAGGCCGCCCCATGAGACCCGCAGAGCCGCCCCTTTGGTGGGGCAAGTGGATTGGACAGTACAGGGCAGAGTTGCAGTTATTCTTCAATACCGATATACGGTTTTCAATTTTTTTTTTTTTTTATCCTCACCCGAGGACATTTTTCCATTTTTTGTTCAGATAGAGCGGGAGGGAGAGAGAGAGAGAGAGAGAAACATCGACATGAAAGGGACACATCGAGTGGCTGCCACCCGCACGACCAACCAGGGCCGGGGACAAACTGCAACCGAGGTACGTGCCCTTAGCGGGAACCGAACCCGGGTCTCTCTGTACCACAGGCCGACGCTTTAACCGCTGAGCCAAACCGGCCAGGGCCCGATATACGGTTTTCAAATGTGTTTTCTAAATTGGTTTTTTAGAGAGGGAGGGATAGAAACATGGATGTGAGAGAGAAACATGGGTCGGCTGCCTCCTGCTCGCCCCCTACTGGGGATTGAGCCCACAAGCCGGGCATGTGCCCCGACCGGGAATCACACTGGGACCTCCGTCCATGGGGTGCCGCTCAGTTCCCGGAGCCACACCAGCCCGAGCCCCACGTAAGGTTTTCAGACGACTCCCACGTTCCAGAGCAAACGCTGGGAGGGCAGCCCGCCTGCCGTCGGGATGCGTGAGTGGGCAGCAGGCGCTCCGTGCTTGTTGAACACCCCTCTCGCAGGGGAGCAGATTGGGCTGGGAAATGGGGGAGCACAGGCGCTGGCTGTCACTAGGCTCCAGCCCTCTCGTGGTCTCCGGGGGCAGAACTGATTTACCACTGCGTCCGGGGTGCTCCGTGTGCTGAAGCATGTTAGAGAGACAGTAAGCCAGGCCACTCTGCCACTGGGGGTTTGCTGTTGGGGTGCAGCACGACCTCCCTGAACGTCCTCCATGCGCAGTGGAGGTGGTCAGTCAGCTCTTGCTCAGCTCCCTCCGGCCAGGGTCTCCGCCAGCGCGGATGCCAAGTCCGATCCCGACCCGCAGCGGGGCGCAGGGCGCGGGGCGCGGGGCGCGGGCACTCCCAGCAGGCTCGGGAAGGCGAGCCCGGCCACCCTCGCTGCTAGACCTTGCCGGTGTTCCTTCTGTTCAGCGTTGCTGTTACTGGCCAGGTTGTGCTGATGACACACACTGGGGTAAACAGTCTCCTCATCTCAGATTCCCGCTTGGAATGTGTCGCGCTGAACAAGCAGAGTGCAGCGAGCGACCTCTTCCCTGAAGGGCAGGTCCTGCCACCTGGCGGCCCTGCTGTCCCAGAGGAAGGGGCAGCGCTGGTGGGGAGTCGGTGGGCAGCGTGGAGGAGCCGCTCCCGCCAGGCCTCAGGGGTGAGGAGAGCGACCACGGGCCTCTTGGGTGGGGTGCTTCCCGTGCAAACCCACCACACCTCACCTCAAGTCCAAGTGCACATTTCCTGTCTCAACACGTCTGTAACTGGGGCTCCAGCTCAGGAGTTCTAGTGTGCTCGAGGGGTGTGTGATCTCCACGAGGGCGGCTGTATCTCTGGGTGGAGACGTTCGCGCTGCTGCAAGCGGACGTCTGATACCCAGTCAGTGTTCAATCACCCCCGCGTGGAGCGTCCTGAACACGCTCTCCTACTGAGACACGGTGGTCAGACCTCCCCAGACCCGGTGGGAAAAAAAGGTTCACAAATACCACTGAAAAGCAAGAAAGGATACCATGAGCAGATCAGAAAATTTTAGTAATTCCTGAAAAAGAGGAAGTAAAAGGAATCAAGTGTAAAATGAAATTGCAATTGGAAACCCTAACCCCAAACATCTGAGACTGTTGGAGAAATGGGAGTGAATTCAAGGGGTTCACTGGGCTGAATGCCCAGTAGCCAAGTCTGGGTCAATGTGAACACTTGGGGGGTCAGGGCCGCCTCCTGCACGCCCCTCCACGGGGGATCGGGCCCACAACCTGGGCATGTGCCCTGACCGGGAATCGAACCGGGACCTCTCAGTCCACGGGACAACACTCAATCCGCTGAGCCACACCGGCCGGGCAGAAATTCTGTATCCTGGATGCAAAGTTAAGTTAAACCACAAAGAACTGAGTCAGACGCGTCCCCTTTCTCGCTGGCACAGATGCTGGCAGGGCATGAGTGCCTTCAAGGTCAGTCTCTCTCCAGCCAAAATGCCAGCCGAGGATGAGGACAGAACCAAGTAACAGGAACTGCTCTGTGGGTGTTTGACTGACGTGCCTCCCACATCGCTCCTTCCTGCCACAGCCCTTCAGTCCTCCCGACACGCACCCTTCCCGGGACCTCAGCAGGCGCAGTAACCGAAGAGCGACAGGTGCGCTGCATCAACCCAGCAGCAGCCGAGCCTGAATTTGCCTTTAAATTCCACAAATGAGATCATGTGATATTTGTCTTTCTCTGCTTGACTTGTTTCGCTTAGCATAATACTCTCCAGGTCCCTCCATGTCGTCTCAAAGGATAAGAGATCTTCCTTTCTTATAGCTGCATAGTACTCCATTGTGTACATGTACCACAGCTTTTTATCCATTCGTCTACTGATGGACACTTGGGCTGTTTCCAGATCTTAGCTATTGTAAATAGTGCTGCTATGAACATGGGGGTACATATATTCTTTCTGATTGGTGTTTCAGGCTTCTTAGGGTGTATTCCTAGAAGTGGGATCACTGGGTCACATGGCAGTTCCATTTTTAGCTTTTTGAGGTAACATCATAGTGTTTTCCACAGTGGCTGCACCAGTCTGCATTCCCACCAGCAGTGTACTAGAGTCCACTTTTCTCCACACGCTCGCCAGCACTTGTTTGATGATTTGTTGATGGCGGCCATTCTGACCGGTGTGAGGTGACACCTCTCCGCTTCTCTGAGTATGTGTGTGGACCCGCGCCCCTGAACTGTCTCCTCGTCCTGCCGCCCAGCCTCAGGGTGACGTGCCCTTTCTGCACAGACCCCAAGCTCGCAGGACTGAGGCCTCACGCCTGTGTTGCTGCCACTGGGCCACGCCCCCCGGTCCTGGCTGCTCCGGCTGAGACCCGAGCGAGGCTGGCCAGGCCAGCATCTCTTCACGTGGGCGAGACTCACGACCGAATGAGCGTCTGCCCGAAGCTGCCTACAAGGACTCCACTATTCCGAAGTTGTTGTTGTTGTTTTTTATCCTCACCCAAGGACATTTTTACATTTATCTCCAGATAGAGCAGGAAGGAGAGAGGGGGAAGAGAGAGAAACATCGATGTGAAAGGGACACATCGAGTGGCTGCCACCCACATGACCCCAACCGGGGCCGGGGACAAACTGCAACTGAGATACGTGCCCTTAGCGGGACCGAACCCGGGTCTCCCTGGTCCGCGGGCCGACGCTCTAACTGCTGAGCCCTACTAGCCAGGCGAAGTGTCATTTCTTCGTCTACTCCGGTACCACCGATATAAAGAGGGGGGACAGCAGTGGGCTGGGAGAGATGAACGTGTCCCCTGGGCCGGCCTCAGCCCACGCACGGCAGGAAGCCAGCAGGCGCTCGCTGGGCCCAGGGAATGCCCGACTCGCCGCCAGCTGCAGGGGGTGCAGGCTACGCGTCCCCAGACCAGCTCCCATGGACACCGTGTGGGGACCCCCAAAGGGACCTGCAACAGGCCAGCCCGAAACACGCATTCTTGTGGGAGTGACTAGTCCCCAAACTTTTCTGATTATTTAACATGTTCAGCTGCCCGAGAACAGGCACCCGGCACTGACTGACGGCCGTCGGGCAGCGGCGCTGGCGGAGGCCCGAGAGCAGGGTGCTGCCGCCGAGCAGACGGCCGCCTCGGACTCCCGAGCTGAGCCGAACAAGCACCTGCTGTCGCAGCAACACCGGGAGGCCAGACACGTGACTCCACCACCGTAAGCGAGAGAAGCCGGTGACAAGCCCCGAGACCAGACACTGTGCCGGCTGGAAGAGGTAACACGGGGAGCTGCCCACGCGGGGAGACACGGCTCCCACGCCACAGCAGGTGTCCGCGAGGAAGCCGCCGGGCAGCAACATTTATTAAGAACGCTAGTTTCTTTTTCATCTTCAGTAATCTTTTGAAAGTTCTTACCGACTAGGCCCACTTCTAGAAAGGTAACCTAAGCAAATAAATATGCAAAGGCTTATGTATAATGATGTTCAATGCGTTGGTTATATTTTCTAAAACAATGGAAAATAACCCCAATGTTGAATGGGGAATTAAAAAATAAATTATTCCATCTGCTTGATGGAATATTATGTGGTCAGTTTTTCTTAAAGTTATGCTTTCAGTGGCTACATAGTGACATACTGTGATCTCTATTGTAGAAAAGTATGCAGCAGAAAAAATGGAAACATTCAAATGTAAGGAGTGGTAACATCTGGCAATAGAATTTTGAATGATTTTATTTGCTTTTTTCTTTCCTATGTTTTTCAAAATTTCTACAATAGTACATGTTTTTATTACTAGAATTTTTTAAAAAAGAAAAACCACCTTTATTTTAATAGGGTTATGACCCCTCTAGCTACATGAAGGACAGGGAGTATGGCTGTCTGGTCGCTTACCTGCCCGTGCTCTGTACCGGCTTTCTGGTCACTGAAATGCACACCTTGGGGGACATATGTATCTACACGAACTCATGTGTTATAAAATCTCACCAGACATGTAATCTGATATACAGTACAGCCCGAGCAGAGCATCACAAAACACATCACTAAAGTATACTAAAATAAGGTTATTTACTTAAAAATGATACAGTGGACGTAATCTATATATAGAACAAAGCAATTAATGGTAAACTTAATAAGGCACCTTTCAAAGCAGATGCTGTACAAAATACATTTAGTGTGTTATGTATCAAAGATGCATCTATGTTTTTGGTGTCTTACAACTGCATAATGAAACTGCTCAACCATGTACAAGCGGTAATGGTGTTTCCATTTTATACAATATATACTACATTTTAGTTTTTAAGTGGGCAGGGTCAACAGTCACTGAAAGGGCTTAAATAATCCACTGGGAGCATAGTACAGAGCACAACCCAACAGGACAATGCAGTTAATCCTTTGCAGAAGCAGGTGTTCGAGACTTTCCTTACGGACTTGACTCGTGGCTTCACCAGATGCTGCCCTGGGCTGAACGTCGGTTATCCGCGATTTCCACCGACTCCCGGCAGGACTGAGGTGAGAACTCCCAATATCCGACCCAGCTAAACAATAAATATCACCACCTTTAAACAGTACAAGAGCTGCAACAATCCTTTTTAAAAATTAATTTGCATTTCTGCTGTTGAAGTTATTTTAGATATTTAGAAACAATGCAAGACAACATGTATGAAAAGAAATGTTAGTGACTTAATTTATAAAATATACCCTGGACTAAATTATTCAATATCAAATTTAATCTTGTGCCAATTTAGAGATGCATGATTCTTTAAAAACTACTGACTTTCTGTTTTAAATGGAAGCATAAAGAACCTAGGGGGAAGTTTTGTTCTTTTTGAGTGCATAATAAATCTGGCACATTCTAGGAAAATAATTTGCAAAAACGGTAAGTCACTTTCTAAGCTTAGAAAAACGTCTGGACATTGAAAGCAACATGAATGGAAAATATTCCCAGAGAACTGATTCAAATTCCACACTTCAGGAACGTGTTCGATACGGAAGCCGGGGGAGCGCAGAGTACGCGCGGAAGCCGGTCCTAACGAGCCTTGAACTCTGGAGGTATCGGCCAGTATAAGAAGAGTTCACAATAAGAACTTTCTTTGGGTTAACTTCTGCTATATTCGGAGTTCTGTTTTTGTTTCAGTTATTTAAAGGGATGACAGACAGAAGCCACGCGTTTTTAAAATGCTAAATCGTGAGACCAAATAATGGTTTCTAGGGTTTTACAAGTTATGAACTATGGTACTATATAATACCTCCCTCCTCTTACGCTTTAAATAGTTCACTGACCGGATGAAGTTAGAAATTTATGAGTAAAAGTAAGAAGGAGAGAGGAAAAGTTCCATGCAACTATGTTTAGACTTTAAAATTTCAAGTAATTCATCATCTGCTTTTTAAAAAAACATTATACTAGAAAATATTTATATTGAACAAGTCTCTAACATTAATTCTTGATAACACTTTTAATAGATCAATTTCATTTAAAACATCTTTATGATGGGCTTGTACTGATATACTATCTGTAATGTGTTGAGTTCACATCATTTTAACATTTCTAAGAACAGATGCCTTTTCTTACATACTTTCTTATAAAGGTGACAAATCATTTTTAAGATGTATAATTTATCAAATAAAAAAATAAATCAAGGTTAACCTTAGCCTAAGAAGATCAGAGCTCATAAGTGTTGTTAAATGGCAGGACAATTTAGATAAAAATATCTGTGAGTCTCACTGTGAGAGATGGGAAAATCATTCTGAAACAGCAAGTTACTGGGTAGGACCAACATGTAAATATTTACTTATCTTGATGAACATTTGAAACTTAAATTTTCTTAAATGAAAATTACTAAATTTAATAAAAACTGTTAAAGCACATTTTAAATTAGTGAAATTTGATGTAGCAACTATATCAGAGTTTCATCCTTAAGAGCAAGTCCAATTTTTGGAAATGAATGGGTTCGTGCTCTGATGTCCCCGCTAAAGTGTTCTGACCATGTTGTAATATAATCACATTTATTTTATGCTGTATTAAAAAAAAAAGCCTCACTCTCTGTGTAGGAGTTGCTTTTTCAGACTAAGACAGTGACATTTAGAGGCATCACAGACACGCAGGAAGTCTGACTGACTGACTGACTCCTTGGACTACCAGGCGCCCGGCGGTGTTTCCCGGCGGCCACGAGGTGAGAGGTGGGCACTGCCCGAGTCGCCACTGTCCTCACAGGTTACGGAACAGAAATCACACGGCTGAAACCGCAAGTGATTTCAACGCCTGAAGTAGTCGTTAATAAATTTGTATCAGCTCTGAAACCAAAATTTCTAATTAGAGGATCCTTTCAAAAAGGAAAATGGAGACAACATCTTAACGAGAGTCTGTGCCTGAAGAGCGAACTCGGGTTGACAGACTATTCTGAGTGGCTTTGCTCTAAGGATTCACGTGGGGTTCCACGTGACGTTTGCTTCTGACGACCTTGCCGCTTTCCCCCTAAGGATGGGGTGAGGACACGCGAGCGGATGGCTACAGTAGGGACGTATGTACAAAGATGACATATGGTCCGAAAGGAACAGGTGTTTGCAGATAAAGCATATGACACACAAAATATAAATAACTTCCCTTTGAAAAGTTACTGAGATAAGAGCACAGAACACGGTTATAGGCACTTAACATTCCATCGGACGCAGGGATCAGTGACGCGCGCGGAGAAGTGATTTCTTACAAGTTCGTGGCGCTGCGGTCCCAGCTTCGGACAGGATGCTTCCTCCGGGACGACGGCGGCAACTACCGGATGAAAAAGGAAAAGATGGGGGCGGGAGGAAAACGGTCCAAATTCCCAGGCACTTGAAACTTTTTTGGCCTTTACATCCACTTTTCTGTTAAAAAATAAAGTTGGTGGAGAAGCTAGGTCACTTTGAAGGTGAATGGCTTGGAGCGACTGGCGAAGCTTGGTCAGATCACACGCGTTTACAGCAGAAAACCCACAGCCACTGTCTCATCCTGTGTTCATGAAGCACGTCTTCATTCGATGGCAGCAGAGACCCTGGTGAGCGGGTACACACACCACGACCACGGCCTGACGACATCTCCCCCACGGCAGCGTCCCCGGCGGGTGGCGACCCGCACGCTGTCCACAAAGGTCAAGTACAAATAGGTTGCGTTCCCTCAGGTAGAAGGCAAGGTACTCTCTCTCCGTCTCTGCTGAATTCATTCATCTTCTCAAGACTTTCACAGAAAGCAGCACGCTACGAGCAGGTAGTTCAGTACCCAGATGTGACTGGAGACTCAGGGATCAGGACCGAAGTCTTGATGCAGTTCATAAAAACCCCATTTACAAAAGGCATCAGAAACCACATTTAAAGTGAAGCTGTCCACACACAAAGAACGACGTTCTAAGCTCCCAGCTGATCCCCTAGAGAACGGAAAGGTTTGACATTAGCAGCCTGTGAAGGTGTCGCGAGGAGTCTGAGAACCCAGTTGGCATCCACACTCTACCCTGACTCCACCCACGCCCTGGGGAACAGTCTCGCGTCCAGGGTTTCCCCTCGTGACCGCCGAACCTCAGATCTTCACATCTTGGGATTCGACCATCTTGGCGAGTGTCTTCTTGACCCTCAGGGCCGTGAGCCTGGAGGCCGGGTTGTGGGCCCAGCACTCCGACATCAGCTTCAGCACGGCCCGCAGACACTGCAACAGGACAGACCGCAGTGAGCACCGAGTCCCCGGGGCGCTCCCACCCCCACCGGGCGATCCCGCCCGCTCACCTCGTCACTGTTCCACCGATTGGACACGATCGGCCGCAAACGCTTGACACACACCACCTCGCGCATATCTTCATAGGACGGGTCGCTGGGCACCATGCTGTAGTACGGCAGCTGGTACTCCTCCACGATCCCTGCGGAGACAGGCGGCACCATTGGAGCTGGCCGAGGGCCGCCGATCTGCACAGCAGCCCTTACTAACTGCGAGACTGAAACTGACCCTACACGAAGGAGGACAGTTGTAGAGTAGACGAGTCTTTTTTATTTTTTTAGACAAAGAGGGAGAGTGAGTAAGCGAGAGAGAAACATCGATGAGAGAGAACATTGACTGGCCGCCTCCTGCACACCCCCCACTGGGGATCGAGCCCACAACCCGGGCATGTGCCCTGACCGGGATCGAACTGGGACCTCTCAGTCCCTGGGAGAACATTCTATCCACTGAGCCACATGGCCGGGCTAGATGAGTCACTTTTAATAGTAAGTGTATGTTGTTCTCATTTTACTTCTAATTGTTTCCCCTGTTCTATCAGGATCCCCATCACAGCTGAAAACATACAAATATTCCTAAAAAAAAAAAAAGGAGAAACACTTACCCTAAATTTTAATCTAATGACTTATTTATACAATTGTTCCTAGTAATAAATGCAGCAGAAAGACAGCATGACATGCAGGGAGGAGACACCAGCAGGCCCGAGACCATCTCCCGAGAACGCCCGCCGGCTGCTGGCCCGGGGCTGCTGGCTACCTGCCGACAGCGGCTGGCAGCGCCGGGTGCCTGCGCGGACACGCCGTCCAGGCCCTACACCTGCTCCCCGAGCGTCTGGGGTTTCGGTACACGCTGGGCAGAGGGTGCCCCGGTGCCCAGCCACCGATAAAATCTTGGAGAACAAAGTCTCTAACGACTTCCCTGGACGACAACAGTGCACCCAGGTCACATGCTGGGGCAGTGGGTGGCCCTGAGCCTGCCCTGGGAGAAGATCTGGGGGCCGGGTGACCTCTGAGCGTTGCCCTGGCACCTTCTCTTGTGCTGACTTACTTCGTACCCTTTGCCCACAGGACACTTAGCTGTGGGGACAACCGTGCTGAGTCCTGAGAGTCCCCCCAGGTGGAGAGGCGGCCCCGACCACGCCCGGACGCCCACCTCCGGTGACGCAGCGGCGGGCCATCTCCCAGATGATGAGCCCGAAGCTGTAGATGTCCGCCATGATGTAGGGCTGGAAGTGGCTCTTGTGCAGGCTCTCGTCCAGCACCTCCGGGGCCATGTACCGCTTGGTGCCCACCCGCGTGTTCAGGGGCACGTCCACTTCATTCGTGTCGCTGCAGGGGCAGGCAAGTCCAAGGGTGGTTAAGAACAAAACAGTTTCCTTCCGTCTGTTGTGATTTACGCAGGGTGACCGCTATTCACCCCCAACAAATAAATAATAGGAATCTATCTATCTATCTACAATTCTACATTCTTTTATCAGAAATTATTGGGGCCAGATGTATTTTTAAATTTAGCATCTTTCAGATTTAAAAAAAGTAACATACCCTTTAAATATATGCTACACATTACAGAACTTCCCCAGCAGAGTCTAGAGTAGTGCTCTTTTTTTGTTAATTCTCACCTGAGGATATTTTTCCATTTATCCTCAGATAGAGCGTGAGGGGGTGGGGGTGGGGGGAGGGAGAGGACAGAGAGAGAGACATCGATGTGAGAGAGACACATGGACTGGTTGCCTCTCACATGGCCCCGACCAGGGCGGGGGACCGAACTGCAGCCAAGGTCCGTGCCCTTGACCGGAATCGAACCCACAACTCTGGGCTGAGGGCCAATGTGCTAACCACTGAGCAATCGGCCAGGACTAGAGCAGTCCTCTAATCAAACGTACCACCCTGTGTACGTTAAAAAACTAGTATAGCCCTGGCCGGTTTGGCTCAACGGTTAGAGCGTCGGCCTGCGGTCCGGAGAGACCCGGGTTCGGTTCCCGCTAAGGGCACGTACCTCGGTTGCAGTTTGTCCCCGGCCCCGGTTGGTCGTGCGGGTGGCAGCCACTCGATGTGTCCCTTTCACGTCGATGTTTCTCTCTCTCTCCTCTTCCTCTCTCTCCCTCCCACTCTATCTGTACAAAAAAAAAAAAACTAGTATGAATATTGCTCTCAAGCTGCACACATGACAGACACCTGCCTGAGTTCAGGTCAGGTTCTGTCTCCAAACAAGTCTGCTGTCTCTCGGAGGAGGCAGTGCTGCACGTAGGAGATGTGCTCGACACCACGTCCCCGAGCCAGGGACCCTGCCGACAGACCGAGGCCGCTGTCAGCGTGCTCCGGAGACGCGGGGTCCGTTTCCTTCCTACGGGTCCAGCCAACTTAGTTCTGTCGTAATAAGTTGCCACAAGCTTACGAATTCTCAGGACTAAAGGATGTGTACTGGAGTAAATTTTATTTATTTTTATCCTCACCCGAGGACATGTTTGCATTTATCTTCAGCGAGAACAGGAAGGAGAGGGGGGGAAGGGAGAGAGAGAAACATCGACGTGAAAGGGACACATGGAGTGGCTGCCACCCACACGACCCCAACCGGGGCCGGGGACAAACTGCAACTGAGGTACATGCCCTTAGCGGGAACCGAACCGGGATTCTTTGGTCTGTGGCCGACGGACGCTCTGACCGCTGAGCCAAACCGGCCAGGGCTGTGGAGCACATTTGGAACTGGAAGACATGAGCACTGTGTTGCTTAGGCCCCCAGTTCTGGAAACTACTCTGAAGCTGGGATGAATGTATTTTTCTTACACAGCATCTGATGAGTATTTGAGCCCGTGAACACTACATTGACTGAAAACAAACACGACTGGAACAACCAGGGAAGATAATTTAATTTTTTAGTGTTTGTTGTACATGGATTAGGACTTTTATCTTATGGCCTGACATAAATTCTAGAATGTGAAAAGGTTGCTGTACTCTAGAGTTATAACAACATTAAAACAGTTTCAATATTTCCTAAAAATACTCTGATTCTGTTTAAAACCATTAACAATGTATCCAGTGGTGCTGGAGAAATGGACGTCCATTCCGCTTCCGGCAGTGGAAGTCCCTGCACGCCCTCTGAACGGGAGCTTGCAACTGACTTCCACTCACACGGACACTCCCTCCGTCTGGGCCCCTCCCGGGACTCCGTCATGAGGTACTTGTCTAAGTGCTCAAGGATTCATATATATGGATAAAATACAACGTCCATTAAAGCGTTTTTTAAAATAGAGATACACCATAGGCAACTCTAGTGCCCATGCGCTGGGTCAGGGAATAAGCTGTAGCACATCCTTATTTTGGGAAACGGCATCAACACTATTAAAAACAATGAAGCAGCCCCGGCCGGTTTGGCTCAGCGGTTAGAGCGTCGGCCTGCGGTCCGGAGAGACCCGGGTTCGGTTCCCGCTAAGGGCACGTACTTTGGTTGCAGTTTGTCCCCGGCCCTGGTTGGGTTGTGTGGGTGGCAGCCACTCGATGTGTCGCTTTCACGTCGATGTTTCTCTCTCTCTCTCCCTCCCACTCTATCTGAACAAAATATCAAAAAATGTCCTCGGGTGAGGATAAAAAAAAAAACGACAAAAACCAATGAAGCAGACCTTCCTCAACTGAAACAGAAGAATGGCTAAGATATAAGAAACAGGAAATAAAAAATTATGTAGAGTAGAATGTACTGTTTGTTTTAAAAAAATTTTTTTCTTTATTGATTTTAGAGACAGAGAGAGAGAGAGAAACTGATGAGAGAACACCAATTGGCCGCCTCCTGCACGCCCCCCACTGGGGATCAGGCCCACAGCCTGAGCTTGTGCCCTGACCGGGAATCGACCCAGCGACCTCTTGGTGCAGGGTCGACACTCAACCCCTGAGCCACACCAGCCAGGCTAGAATGTAATGTTTGTAAACAAAACCCACCCAAACAAACCAACCAGACAGAACCGCCATCGGACACCTACACAGAACCAGCACAAACACATTCCCGGAACCCTGCTGCCCTGACCACCTGCGCGCAGATGCCTCCAGAGATGACTGTAACTCCACCAGGAGGCGGACCCTCACCTGTTGAATTTCACAGCAAGGCCCAGGTCAGCAATACAGCAGCTTCCGTTTTTCTTAATGAGGATGTTCTTGCTCTTCAGGTCCCGATGCGCAATGGCGGGCTTCCCCTGGGTGCCGTAGATCTCCGTGTGCAGGTGGCACAGGCCGCAGGCGGCGGAGTGTGCCAGCCGGAGCAGGGCGCTGGCGTCCAGGGTCGCACACTTCAGGAAGTCGTGCAGGGACCCGTTTTCATGGTAGTCAGTGATCAGGTAGAGCTGGGTCCAGGAGCCGGTGCCCTTGATGTCTGCAGCTATGAAGCCTGCCGGTGAACAGGGGGCAGAGGCTAGTCACCAAGGTGGCCATGCAGAGCGACAACTCGGGTACGGTGCCCAGACAAGGGACAGCAAGTACGCCTAATGAATCTCTAGAACGTGTTCCCAAGATCTTTATTTCTACCATTTACACGTACAACTCTACAATTCTGCAATATAGTTAAAATCATATTAATAATCAACACAAAAATGATAATGGCATGACTGAGAAAATGGTGTGTCATGTCACCTGGGGGAACGGTGTCGTCTACGTGATTCTCTGCCCGTGAAAAATTATAAAGAAGAAATGTGGAAAAGGCTCAATTTCTAATTGAAAAGTAGACGCATTAAACCAGTTAAAAATGTTCACCTAGCCAGCCAAGTGCCCGAGCTGGCCAGTGCCACGTGCCCACGGGTGCCTCCTCCCATCGGCCTCCCACCGGCTCAGACGAGCAGGGAGGTAACGCGGGCCCCTTTCCTCCTCTCTCTCCCTTCCGAAGAGAGGTGAGCGCAAGTGCTGGGTGGAAGAGTGTCCCCTCCCCACCCAATTCATGTCTGCCTGGCACCTTAAGTGTGACCTTCCGTGGAGAAGTAATCAAATTCCGATGAGGTCATCCTAGACTCGGGTGGACGGTGACCCGATGACCAGTGTCCTTGTAAGAGGGATGTGGACACAGGGGAGCCAGGAGACGACAGAGACAGAGACAGGCATGCTGCCTCCAAGCTGAGGAACACCCCGGGCTGCGGGCCAGCACCAGAAGCCAGAAGGAAGGGGTTTCTCGAGCGCCTTCCGAGAGCACAGCCCTGCCGACACCTTCATTTTAAACCTCAGCCTCCAAACCACGCAGGAGGAACTTCTGTTGTTTCAAGCCACCCGGTTGTGGTACTTTGCTCTGACCCCCTCAGGAACCCCTACGCTCAGCAATGCACTGTGAAGGAAGGAAGGGAAATCGAGCTGGAGAGTCGAAGCTCAACGCTCAGATCCTGCGCACGCGGTTCTGCTGTTGTGTGAGGGGGCTTGTGCGGCGGGGGGACCTGCTGGGCACAGGCCATCCAGCTGCAGCCTGTGGTCGTGGTGACTGAGCTTACAGAGGCGAAAGGCATGCGAGAAGCTGCCCTAGAAAACCGCTTCAACTGCCCACAGGACGCTTGGCTGTTGCTGGGTGAGTGAGCCCAACGAGGTGGCATCACCCAGAACCCTGCTCTCGGGGGCATCAGGAGGGCAGCTGGGCAGGGCTGCGCTGTGCGCGCTGGGCCCGGCCGGGTTCCGTCAGCCCGGCGTTACCGAATCCACGCGTGTCCCCAGCCCGGGCAGGCGTCCACCTGCACCACTGGCCGACCGACGCGGGCCGCGTGCTCACCGAGGATGTTTTCGTGGCGCATCAGCACGGTCTGGTAGATCTCCGTTTCCCGGAACCAGCTGGCCTCCTCGGTGGTGAAGAAGACTTTCACCGCCACCTTCTCGCCCCGCCACTTGCCCATCCACACCTCTCCGTACCGGCCTTTCCCAACCTGCCGGACCATCTGGATCTGCTTGGCAATGGTGCGCTGGACCTTCAGGAAGGAAGCCAATGTTTCACTTATCGAAGAAAAGAACCTATTAAAACTGAGAAACTGGTCTGATAGCTCATCCCATCAAAAAGGATGGCACACATAACCAATCCGCCCCAATGTTAACACCTAAAACCTATTTAAAAGATGAAACGATACACAGTATATTCTGAAATCACAAACTGTTTGCAAAAAAAGTTCAAAATAACTCCCCTCCCTGTACACACACAGACCTGGTGTGGCCACGTGCCCTGCTCTGGGTGACAAGGAAAAGGGGGTGCAGGCGCAGAAGGGCGGGGCCACGTGCCCTGCTCTGGGTGACAAGGAAAAGGGGGTGCAGGCGCAGAAGGGCGTGGCCACGAGCCCTGCTCTGGGTGACAAGGAAAAGGGGGTGCAGGCGCAGACCCGGGAAGCACTGCCCGGAGCCTGGCCCCTCGTGCTCGGGGAGCTCTGAGCATCGCCAGCGCCGAGCTGACCACATGCACAGACCACACCAGTTGGCTGGAGCGAGCCCCGAAGAAAGCGGCCCAGCAGACCCACAGGATCACGGGAAGCAACACGTTTGTCGCTCGAAGCCCCTGAGCGTCGGGTGGCTGATCATGCAGTGAAATCTAAGTGACAGTTAAAAGCCTTCAGCTCAGTCTATTGGCTCCTACACGGTCTGGCCCTGCCCCTCCCCGGTGCATCACTCGTGATGACCACACCATCCTCCCCTCGTCTTTTCTGCTTTTGCCTTTAACTGCTACCATTCTTTCTCTTGCTGAACTTACTGGGGTGACATCAGTTAATAAAATTATACCGGTTTCAGGTGTGTATAATTCCATGACACATCATTTGTGTATTGTGTCCACCACCCCAGTCAAGCAAGTGCTCAAGTTTTCAGTCAGCTGTCAGACTGCCTCCCGTAGCGGCTGCACCGCTCCTGCCAATCGGCAGCGCCCGACATGCTCCGCGGGCCCGTGCTGGCGGGTCTTACTGTGTGGCCTGCACTCCCCAGGGACACTGAGCATCGTCTAGACGCCATCTGCCCTTCTGTATTCTCTCTGGGAAAGTCTCTTCAACTTTTGTCCATGAAAAAAACTGAATTTTTGTTACATTACTGAGTTGTAAAAGTTCTTTATATAGTCCACAACACAAATTCGTGACTTGTTTTTTTTCATTTCCTTAACAATATCTTCTAAATAAAAGAAGTCTTAAACTTTGAGAAAGCCTAGTTTATCATTTAAAAAAATGATTCACGCCTTTTGATTTCCCAAGGAACCTGTGCTCAATCAAAGGCCACAACGATTTTCTAAAATGTTTTTTTTTAAAGGTTTTATACTCTTTTGCATTTAGGTCTACGATCCATTTCAAGGTAATTTTGCGTATGAAGTGAGGTGAGGGATGAGATTTGCTTTTCAGCAAATAGATGCCAAGTTTCCTGTACCATGTTTTATAGATGGTCTTCTCCCAACGAACCACTCTGCCACCCAGACCACCTGAGCCCCCGGGGCATCTCCACTCCCGGCCCTCCCCTGCCTCCTGCTGCCCCTGCTCGTCCTCACGGGCGCCGCAGCAGCCCAGCTGTGCCCTTCAGAAACCAGACAGTGAGCCCTCTCTGTTCTTCTTTCTCAAAATTGTTTTGGCTCTTTGGAGCCTCTGTTTCCATATAAATGGCAGCATCAGCTCATTAACTCCTACAAAAGCTTGCTCTGATCCTGATTGCACTGAATTGAAACTGTAAGCCCATTTTAGGAAAACTGGTATTTTAATGCTGGGCCCTCTGACTCACATAGGGTACATGTCTCCACCTCTGCAGGGCTGTGCCCATTGGTTTTGGCAATGTTTTCTAATCTTCAGGGTGCAGGTCTTACCTCATTTTGGTAAGCTTATTGCAAAATATTTAATGTTTCGATGCTATTTTTAGTAATACAGCTCTTAAAACTTTAATTCCTATTTGTTTGCCAATGTACATAAATTCAATGATTTTTGTACAATGTGTACTTGCAACCCTGATAAACTCATTTATTGGCTGCAACAGTTTTATAGTATCATCCTTGAGATGTTTTACACAATCATGTTGCCTGCCTACAGGGACAATTTTACTTTACCTTTCCAATTCAATTACGGAAATTATATAGTTCGATTAATTTTTAAATTAGCGATGAAGGTATTTCAACAAATGCACTTAAACAATTAAACATCTATCTGAATATCTGGTGTGTATCGTAAGGGTCCTCTCAACCCCTAACCCTGAGTCTTTCCTAACGTCTAGTCCTCTTAGAATTGTTCACAACTCCTTCCAAGATTCTTTTTACGAACTGTGTTTTGGTGATATGGTGTCATACTGAGGGACGTCTCTTCTCTACGAAGGCATGTGGGAGACACTTCCTTCTGATTTCAGAAACAGTCAGACTTCGCCCAGAAACCAGCTGAGCCTGACAGGTGTGAGGAGTCACACCCGATTCCCCGCCTACACAGCTGTGACAAGAAAACCTGGGAGCTACCTCCAGCACCATGCAACACTTCGTGACCACGCTTTCTTCCGTAACTCAGTTTCATTATTTTTGACTAGTTTCATCTTGCGTTAATTACTGCAGCCATCCTTCTGAACAAGGAGGCAGAATATGTGCAGTGATGTCCCCTAGTCACGCTGTCACCGTGCAGGGTTCATTCTGCATCAGCAGACCACTACGTCTACGGCATTCCATCTCACCAGCAGGGGCAGGCCGGACCCACTACCGGAACTCTGCGACTGGTCGATGAGGTCCTTCAGGGACTCTCCCGCGGGGATAAACGCTTCATCCTGCTCCAGGTCACGGTTGTAACGCCGTCTGCTGGAGATGCTCTTGCAATAATGTCTTTTCAAACAGAAAAGAATCTCCATTAAAATTCTCAAACTATAAATTTAAAGGTAAGAAAATCTTCAGATTGTCAATAGCATTATCCTTCCTTCAGACAGGATCATATCAAAATCAGTCAGCGTGGGGTAATATACCCTCTGCCAAAATAATCTATACAAATGGAGTTTATGAGGTGAAGTTTTATATGTTATTCTAAAATGGAAAGATGTCCATGATGTACCAACAAGTGAAAAAGACAAATGAAAAAAAAGCATGTGAATTGTGATCTATCTATAAAGATTTTTAAATTATATATGTGTGTGTGTCTGAAAAGATCAGAAAGGATATTAACAAGTTGTAAATAAGTTTTTCTGGGGACATAGGAATATCACACTTTACACAAATATTTTCATTTGAATTTGTAAGTATTTACATATCAAAATGAAAAATAAATATATTTCCATTTTTTAAAAAGGAAAAAGTATATGGAAAAGAAATCAAACAAGTTCTCTTAATTCATTCTGATATTCTGAAGGCTTCTCTTTGTAGAAATATTTGAAACATACAGGAAAGAAGAGATTAATGTAACTAACACTCATGTGTACACCATTTAGATTCAATAAATATTAACATTATGCTGCAATTATCTTAGATATATTGAAAATAAACATTAGGAATATTTGACGCTCCAGCCATTTCCCTTCTTCACTCCAAACAAACACTACCCTAGAAGTGTTTATATCCTTCCGGGTATGTTTCATATTTCTACCATAACTATATATATTCATACACAACACTGTTTCTGTGGGTATAATTTCACATAAATGGCATCTTGTATTACTATTTTACACCTTGCTTTTCAGTGAAAAAACACTCTCATGTTTTATATATTTATTCATGTTGATACAAATGAAAAAAAAAAAAAAAAAACGGCTCATTTTTGTTGATGTCAAGTGTGTCTGGCATTGTTCTGTGACTCACTTCATGAACACATCTCCCGAGATAAGTGCTATAGTTCCCACTTCACTGAGCAGTAGCGCAGAGGGTCTTCATGGGCCGAGTCACACAGCTGGCCACGTGGAAAAGCAGGGTCCAGCCCTGCCAGTTTCTCAGTGGTTAGAGCACCACCCGCTGACCAGAGTCCCAGGTTTGGTTCCCGCTAAAGGCATGTGCCTTGGTTGCGATTGTCTCCGGCCCCTGCTGGGGTTGTGTGAGTGGCAGCCAGTCAATATGTCTCTCTCACATCAATGTTACACTCTCTCTCTCTCTTTCTATCTGAAGATAAATGCAAAAATGTTGGGAGGGGAGGGGAGGGTCCAAACTCAGAGCCTAGATCTGAAATCCATGGTCTTAGTCCTTTCTATTCTGTCAAGGAAATTATTTAAAGGGTCTTCATTGATCCTGTTACAACTTTGCCACAACTTATCCTGATGCCATAGTTCGTTTATGTCCGAAGGTTTGTTCACATAAACAGGGCCCAAAACCCCTTCTGGTGCCTCTCTTGTGCAGATGTATAAACGTTTTCTTGATGGTATACATACTTTCCATTTTATTGACATCCACCAAATTGCTCTCTAAAGTGAAACAATGTATACTTCCACCAAAAGTGCAACCTCCAAAATCCCTCTCCCCACACTCCAATCTAAACTTGGACTGCCACAGTTTGGACTTTTGCCAACCTGGTGGGTATAAAACAGTGACTTGTTTTCATTTGTTTTCCCTTAATTATGAGGGAGGTTGAAATTTTGTTTTTTTTTTACAGTTTTCCTTGTGAACTGCCTATACATGTTTTTTGCATATTATTCAATTGGGGTGATTTATCTTCTTTTTCTGATTGAGTCGTAGTTCTTCATAGAAGCTGGATATTAAACCTTTGACAATCACATGTTACAACAGTCTTCTGGTTGGCATTGACATGCCATTCCATGTATGGTGTTTTATGTTAGTTTTTTATCTTAATGTTATCCAATTAAATTCATCAAAGTTTCTCTCTTTTGATATATGTTTTTGGGTCCTGTTTAAGACAGCCTTCCCAATCCTAAAGCCATAAATACATTGTCAAGGTTTAAACATTTTGATTCTCTCACCTAGTCCTTTAATCCATTTGGAACTTCTAGTACAGAACAGAAAGTAGAGAATAAATCAAAGCATTTTCCTATGAATAGACCAATATACTTAACCATTTTTATAACTGTATATTTACAACTTATATGGGTACTGACTCAAACAGTTTAAATCCCAAAGGCACGAATGGGTGTGGGGTGGGAAAGCGTCCTCCACCCCATCCCCGAGACGTCCACTCCACTTCCTAGACGAACCTGGAACTCGAGCTGCTTCCAGCTTCGCGCGTACTCTTCTGGGGACCATTATGCATATTCAAACAAAACATACACACTGGTGATGGTCTCCCTTCTTCTGTCCTCCCAGAATCGGTAGTTCTGCACCCTGCTTCCCACGTGGCTGGTCTCCGAGGGGTCATGCCACGGCAGGGCATGAACAGCCTGTTTTCTTCCATGGCTAAGCCAGATTCATCGTATGCCTGTTCACCGCTCCCTACTGGTAACATTTAGACTGGTTTTCGTCCTGCTCCACACAAGGCTGGAAGGAAAACACCCCCGGCACGTCCGCCGTACAAGTGGGGACTGAACCTGAGTGCTGACGGGGCACTGCGACCTGCAGCCGCACCAGTGATGTTCTCTCCACCGCGAGTCCCCGCCCCGCGCTCGCCCAGCCTCGTTGTAACACTTTCAGAACACTGGTCTTATTTCATCGAAGTTCTGTATTCGTCTATTTAGCAGGCCTTCCAATGACTGACATGGCTTCATCATGATGTCATGAGTTGCCAGGGTTAAAACTGATGTCATCACACTTTGCTTCACCTGAAGGCACAGGACCTACGGACACTACATGAGGACACACTGCAGGCAGCTCTCCGGGCTCAGTGACCAAGCCCCCGTCTCACCCCATTTCTCCCCCGACTTTGCACTCCGGGAACCAGACCTTTCCGCCTTCCTGTGCCGACTGGCTCCATGTTGGCCTCGTTATTCGTAAATAACATGCTTATGAGACATTTTCGGTCTCAGAGTTCACTACTGACTTCGTATGTGGAAGATGAGGGTTTAACTCATCAGTGAATAAATACCCTGCCCCTCCCCAAACAGAAATACCTCTGTCCTTCCCTCCTCCCAACACGGTTCCCAGCACAGTGTGTCTTCCGGTCAGTACCCGTGTCTGCACCGAGGACTAGGCAGACCCCACTCACACAGGAACCCCACCGTGTGCTGGGTGACCACTGGGTATCCCCCACCCCCCCCGCGGCACAGGCTAAGATTCAGTACTTCTGGGGAAGAGCGGAAGCAAATCCCTCTGCCCTTGGGGGTGCATCGGAAGCATTTCCCTGCCCCTGCCAGACAAGACCCACTGATGCTGAGAAAGGGTGCACACCCTAAGAAAGCCTCACCCTAAGGACGAGATGCTCCCTCCCCCTCTGCCCCCACGAGAAACATGCAGCAGCGGGCTACCTGTGGGTGACAGCGGAAGGAGGGGGGCCCTGCTGCGGGGCAGGGCTGCAGGGAAGGCGGGGCGCCGAGGGCCAGCGGGCCCGCAGGGAAAAGCCCGACCCACGCACAGCGCAACATCAGACCTTCGCCACCAGCCTGCGAGGCACAAAGGAGCCCTACTCAAGTCCTCGCCAGCCTGGCTCAGCCCCAAACACTAGCAGTCTGGGAAGAGGCCCGTTTGGGGGTGCATGTGTGTGTGCGTGTGCGTGCGATGCACCACATTCAATCAGCAGTCACGAGACTCACTGAAAAGCAAGGAAAACAGCCCACTGGCAAGAGGCGAACCAGTCAACAGAGCCCGTCTGCAATCACCCGTGTTGGAGCCACCAGACGAGTTCCTTGAAGTCACCACAATTCAGATGGTGAAGCGCCGAGCAGAAAAGGGGGACAGTCCTTTTCCAAAGATGGAGATTTTCAGCAGAGAAATGGATACAGTCAAATGGAACTGCTAGAAATAAAACAATGTCAGAGATGAGGAGTCCCTGGGACAGGCCCTCGGCAGACTGGACACGGCCGAGGGAAACGAAAGCTGGCCGACTCCACAGCAGGTGAACAGAAATGACCCGAACTAAGCAAACAGAGGAAGAAGAACGAGAAAAATCCAACACAGAATGAAAGAGCCATGGGACTACAGCAAGTCATCTGGAACATGTGTACTTAGAGTCTCAAAAGAAAAGAGAGGTAAGTTCGGCTGGTGTGCTCAGTGGGTGAGCGTCGACCCTGCACCAAGAGGTCGTCAGTTTGATTCCAGTCAGGGCACATGCCCAGGTTGTGGGCCAGACCTCCAGTGGGGGGTGTGCAGGAGGCGGCCAGTCGATGTTCTCTCCCATCAATGTTTCTCTCTCTCTCACTTCCTCTCTCTCCCTCCCACTCTATCTGAACAAAAATGGAAAAATGTCCTTGGGTGAGGATAGGAAGGAAGGAAGGAAGGAAGGAAGGAAGGAAGGAAGGAAGGAAGGAAGGAAGGAAGGAGGGAGAGATAAAGAAAAATATCTGAAGAGACAACAGACAAAAATTTTGCAAAATAATGAAAGACATCAAGTAATACGTTCAACACGCTCAGTGAATCTCAATGAGAGTAAATACCAAAAAAAACCCCACACACATATCCTCAATACATTGCAGTCAAATTTGACTTAAAACCAAAGGAAAAACCTTGAACAAAAAAAAAGAAAAAGAAATTACATTCAGTGGGCCAAAGATAGGCATTAGGAAAGAAATCCCGTACGCTAGAAGACCAGAAGGCGACATCGGCAAGAAAAAACAAGTCAAACCAGAATTCTACATCCAGTGCAAATACCTTTGGAAATACACGAAGGCAAAAGATTTTTCACACAAAAAAGGTTGCGAGAACTGATGACCAGTGGGTCTCCATGCCCGAAACGGAGGGAGTTCCTCAGGCAGAAGGAATGTATCAAATGAAAACTTGGACCTAAAACTTGGAACTAAACAAATAAA